TGCTTTATTATAAAGCAAAAACACAACAAATTCACAAGGCTTGATTAAGCTTTAATACGGACTTTTAATCATGACAAAATAAAAAACGTTAACTTTTTCAACCCAAAACGCTGTCATGCTTAAACCTTTCCCCTAGTATTTGTTCGTTGTTGGGTGTCACCATTTTACAACAATCGCATGACTTCCGGAGTGAAAAACGGAAAAATCCCAAGATTTCCGAGTGTCACAAAGTTTTCCTAATGCATGTCAAAAACCGGTTTTCGATCAGCGTATAGCAATACATATCGTTTTCATGTCTGAACCGGTAAATACCGGTAAACCGGTTTTATTGCACAGCCCTATCACACACGCACACACAGACACACACATACACAGTAGACATCATAATCTGGTAAATTTCCTATCAGTTTGCTTGCTACAGTATTCTTCTATACAGTATTTCACACAGCTGACACAACCAAGGTACTGATGCTCACCACCTACATTCAATTTGCAAGTTTCAAAAACACAAAATCTTTTAATCAAACGGTCAGAGAACAGTCATGGACAATGGGCCATACCATTTGTAAAAGCTACATATAAACTGACTGAAATGGAAAAAAAACCCATACCAATTAAACCAGTGCAAGATATACATGTAAAGAAATAAGCTAGCACTTTGAGAAGTCCAAATTGTGGTGCTCTACCGACAAGCAGGCGGTGCATGGCTAAAGTGATGTGCTGTCTCTTTACTTTACATAGAGTGACATGTAACCAAGGGGGGTAACTCTGACACCATCAGCTACCTGCTTGGCATAAGTGCAACATGGCTAGAGCAGCGTTAAGGTTCCGGTATTGCAATACATCAGGTACATGTAATACTAAACAAACACAGGAGTAGAACTCAGACTTGAGTCTGGCAAGCAAACACTGTACCCATAGGACTCAGTGTATGAAATAAGCCAAAAACCCAGCCCTACATCAGGGCTGGCAACTTCAAAATGTGACCAGCCCAGAATGGATTTAACCAGACCAGACACCAAGATATGGTGAATTTACTCAGATGTATGAAACATCTACAAGTTTTACCAGACAATCGGGCTGGCTAGCTGTAAATTTAGACCTTCCGTCAGAAATCAAGCCGGTCACGGGAGGTCGGACAGGCCTTATTTCATACACTGACATAGGGCTACCACCATCTGAAGTTATTTGTATTCAGTCTTAGAAACACTGACTGCTTAATGCGTCAGAAGTAATTCCAGACACCTTGGTGCTTTGAGATTGTTGAATCTCCAAAACTTACACCTGACAATCACTTTATGCTAGTGGTGGTCCGATTAAATTGAAATGATCGAAGATTGGTCGCAGTGACTAAACGACCAAGCAATCGATTATGTTTTCTCATAATCGAACACAAACAATTCTGGAACACTTGTTTTCATTAGCAATATTTTTCACAAGGTTGGTTTGGTCTGTTACATTTCATAAGCATTACAAGTTCGTTTCAAGTCATAGTTGAATTTATCTTAAAGACTCCAAGAAATTTATGTTCCTAACATACTAGTCATCCTTTAAAGATGTCAAAAACACCCAAAAGAACTCCATGTTTTTTCCTTATTTTTATGTGCATTAACAAATTTCATTAATGACGCTAACCAATTTTTTTCGATGATTGATCGGTTGTAATGAACCAATAATCAATTATGAGATTTTAACCAATTCCCAACACTACTTTATGCTAAAGATATAAAAAGTTGTAGGATTTTTTTTTCAAACTTGCCATCACTGGTAGGAAAGACAACCTCTCTCAACAGGATTCAGACCTGTTTTGTTAAGACAGCTTGTTATCACTCACCTGGTGAACGAGAGGACTATCTATGGGGATAAGAGCATGCAACTTTCACCTGATTAGAAATACATCAAGCATGACCTATACCATTTGTGTTACAAGGGTACAGTTACATTACAGTACTGTACCATTACAGAAACTACCCATCACCCACTGATGGCATCTGGTTACAGACATGTCAAGCGACACTGCATTGAGCAGGGAGTTAAGTTACATCAGTTTTCGTTGGGCAAACCTGAGTTGAAAGGTTTATTAAATATACACTGTCTATTCATTAAATATACACTGCCTATTCACCAAATATACACTGTGACTTCATCATGTTCATTCAAATATGCATTCTCTGACAATTCATTAAATATCAACTGTCTATTCAAAAACAAACTGTCTACTTATCCAATATACACAGTAAAGTTTCTGCTACAGTTTTTATGATGAGCTTAGTTTCAAGACAATGAGTTCACCTTTCTAAAACGTAAATAAATGATAACTCAAAACTAAAACAGAATTGCCCTTTGAGTATACACATTTCACTTAACCTTTTCTACAAATCCTAAATGTTTGATTATTCATTTTATGTTATCAGTCTCTTCAGCTCACCATCATGGTGAGTCTATATAGCTGCATTGAACCACCAGAGTGAGTGAGTGAGTGAGTATGGTTTTAAGCCGCTTTTAGCAATATTCCAGCAATGTCACAGCAGGGGACACCAGAAATGGGCTTCATACATTGTACCCATGTGGGGAATCGAACCTGGACCTTCATCGTGAGGAGCAGGCGCTTTAACCATTAGGCTACCCCATCGCCCCCTGAACCACCAGAAGCAGGTTGAGGAGTCATCTACTTGCTGACGCCGTTGGTCATGTGGACATGTCATCCAAACTTGGATCAGAAGGTCCTTGGTTCGAATCCAATTACAAGAGTCTGATAATGATCACAAACGTCGATGTCCTCAGATCAGAAAACACTGACACCTAAATGTTTTGGTAACCAATCATTACAGGAAGCTGACAGTCTTTACATGTAATACTTAACCATCGACTAAGCCAGTTATAGCGTTAGGCTCACTTTGCAAATCTTAACAGTGCCCTTGACCCCAATCCACGTGATCATAGCACTGTTACTTTATAAGTCTATGTCAAGGAATGGGAGGTTTGACTGCCTTAGCACAAAGATCATTTTTCTCAACAAGACCTGGCCCGGATTTCTCGAAACAAATTTAAGTTTTTACTCAAGTTTCAAACTGAATTTGACAATTTCAAACAACTGAATTTTAACTCAACTGCATTTTTAAAATAAAAAAGTCCAAACAACTTAAGTAATCTATCCACCAAACTCAAATTGTCTACTATGTTTGAGTTTAATATCGATTTTAGTTCATTTTGGGAAATGCATTTTCTCAAATTTGAGTAAAAACTCTAACTTAAGTCGAAACTAAGACTTAAGTTTGTTTCGAGAAACGAAACAAACTTAAGTTTTTACTCAAATTTCAAACAACTGAATTTTTAACTCAACTGCATTTTTAAAATAAAAAAGTCCAAACAACTTAAGTAATCTATGGTCAACTCAAATTGTCTACTATGTTTGAGTTTAATATCGATTTCAGTTTATTCTGGGAAATGCGTTTTCTCAAATTTGAGTAAAAACTCAAAACTCTGACTTAATTTTTTGGGGAGAAATCGGGCCAGAACCATACAGACAGCCATGTACACAAAAACCGGGTTGATCTGTCAATATTGTCATTACTATTCCTAAGTACTTTTGTCCTATTTGTAGGACATTACAACACTGAAAGAGTCACCTTTGTCTTGGCCTTCCATACCATCTAAACACTAGGCCTGTGTATTGGCAACAGACTGTATTGCAATATGTTGTCAAACAGGTGTCTGTATTGTGCTACACATTGTAATATACTGGAAGCCAAGGCGTGAGTCAGTGATTGACATTGATTGCACATGCAGACCCTATTTTTATACATGCTAAGTTTTTTATACAATTTACAGTAAGTACAGTATGCCATTTTGTTGATTAAACGCAAATAGAAACATCATGAAATTCTGTGTATATTTTAACTTAAACCATAGAGATAATCAGGAAACATGTTCCATTATTTTTTACACGATATACCGGTTCTCAGAAAGAATATTGCAATACATATCATTTGCAAAGTGTATTACAGTACACTGGTGAACTGGTAATACCATGCATGCCTTTCAGTGAACACCCACTGCTACAAAGAGTGTCTGGAATTTTCATGAAATTCATTTTCAGTTTTCTGAATTAGATTCCCCTAAATGTAGCAAAAGTACAAATAAAAAACAACTGAAAATCTAAATCTGGTAAGAGTTTTTGGTAACAATTTGATTTAACTCTTTTATTTTTCTTTTTTAAAAAACATAAAATTCATTTGGACTTTGTACTTAAAATGTTCATGGAATAATGGCTGGAATAATGCCAATGTGACGTAAAGCCCAGCTTAACTCATCTCAACTTTTTTCAAAATGTCATTTTCTTCTCCTACCTCTTGACATCTTGATTGGGGTAATCCATAAAACATGGACACAAATTAGTACACCTTGCGGGTAATTTCCCGCCTTCCTTCTGACAAGCTAATCAAGGGAGACAACTGGAGACGTTGCCATGCTCAAGATGCAGCAGACCATGCCAATATCATGTTTGTTAACCATGTTTCTGAGATTATAGAACAAGATCGTTTCTAACTACCATATTTGACCCTATTAGCACACAAACCAACACAACCCCAAGCCCTTCTTGTCGAACTTCACAGATGTCAAGGTAACCTGGGTTAAGAATAAAAAAATAGTTCACCATTGTTCATGAACAATATTTTGGTTTCTTCAAAAGGACCAGCCATTCAGGAAACATAAATACATGAAATGAAATCCATCCTCCCCAACCAAAAGTTTATGTGTGCTAAAAAGGTCAAATAGGGCAAGACAAGACTTCTACTGATGTCAGACAACATCTCCCATCTTGTTATTCCAAGCACGGCTGGGAAATCATTACATACACAGGTAGTGAAATGGGATATGCATTGTGACAATGCTGTTTTTCTTGAAGAGGTTAATACACGACAGTCACAGACTGTCTGAAGCAACAGGATGCTGACAGAAGCTAGAAGAGATGGAGATAAGTAATCGGTATTTCTCACCTGTTTACAAGCCTGGAAGTGTCGCAAAAATAAATGTCAGTGTAATCAATACGGTCAACATTAGTCTATACATCCTGTTCCTAGAAGCTGCTGTCTACAGCAAACCCTCGCTAATCAGGACACTGTTACACCAAATGATCTAGATGTTCTACATTACATAGACCTGTGTTCTAGGTTTGCTGGGGGGTAGCCTAGTGGTTAACATGGTAAGTGTTCATCGAAGGGCCAGGGTTCAATTCCCCATATTGGTAAAATATGTGAAGATAATTTCAGGTAAGCCTGATGCAACACTGCTAAAACATTGTAAAGAATTTACTCAATGATATGTTAATCGCAAGGTTTGTTAATGTGGACAATTCACTGGGCAGGGTAACAACGTTCACTGTTTATACTTGATACTCAAGTTCCTACAAAGGATTAAATCACATGGTACTTATAACATGGAGAGAGGAGAAAAACAGAGAATCTTACCGAAGTATCTTATGGCATTAAACATGTCAACACTATAAGTGATAACAGCTAAAACACCACAATAAGATACAGATTTTGGTAACATTGGCACTGCACTATCGTCTCCAATCATACATTCATAAACACTGAAATCAGTTCATTAAGAATGGGGATAGAAAGCCAGTTTCCTGAACTTGGCCAAATACGTCGAGGTAGTTTTTCAGCTAACACAGTCATAATCTTGTTGGATGTTTGGAGACAGGTTTACTTCACGTGACTAAGTTTAGTTTTCACTGCTTTTAGTACTCCTGCAATATCACGGCGGGGGACATCTGAAATGGGCTCTGCACATTGTGCCCATGTGGGGAATCGAACATGGGTCTTTGGCATGATGAGCAAACACTTTAACCACTAGGCTACCCAACTGGTCCATTTACCTTAAGAACATCACAGTTAGTGTACTCTAATCTAGACTACATCCAACACTGTGGTCTGGTCGTAGTACGCTGTTGGTTCTGAAATCTAGTTCTCAGATAATAGAAAGGTAAAAATAATTATGAAGACCTCTAAGTGTGACTTACAAGAAACCAGACCTGATCCAAATTATATCTAATAAGGAAAATACAAATGTGTTGTGAATTTTGACTTTCTCTGATCAAACTTCAACAAATATTGCTGACACATGCCCTATAAATAAATATACAACTGTGAGTGATGTGAACGTGACAAAACTAAATTGGATCCCTTGATTTGTGACGTCCACTAATATGATTGCAGAGCCCTAATTCACATAGCAATCACTGACTACAACCGCCTAAGTCTATGTCAAAGTAGAGGAGTTACACAAGTTGAGGCTGTGATCGCTTTGTGAACTGGAGCCCAGTAATCTATACTGGACAAAATAAGTTAGGGATATTGGTATTTATATGATTGATATTTTATCAGTGTGTCAATGAATAAATAGATCATTATTCATAATTTCAAAATTTACATATATCCCTAACTATTTTTGTCCAGTATATATCCCATCCATGCTACCTCTGAGTGACACCAAGGTGACAGATATTCATAGTGATTGTAGTGAGTGACTGACAAACTTTCCATGAGGCACCTTACCGTTTTCTCTGAATGAATTTTTTAAATTTGCTGCACAAATATTAGCAAAACATTACATTCATTTAGCTCAAGATTAAAAAAATTACAGCAATAATAGAAAAAGGACCCACTACACACAAGACATGGGCAAACTCCATTGGGATAGAGCATGAATTATCCATTTTTCATTTATTACATGTCATTAAATCATCACCCACAATCAGAATTAAAATGAATGATTATTATTATGTTTTTTTAAATGATTAGGGTCAGCAGAGCCATAAATCAAGTAACTGAATTTAATCTGGCCTAACAACTTGAATCACCTACAATAAAACTAAATTCTAAATTTAGAAAGCCACTAACTTAAAAACCATAAAACTGTTCAACAAGACTATACACACTATATAGATGTGAATGACCTGATATTAAACATAGGCTGCAAATCAATAGATTTCTGTTAGACATTTGCATGTAATTTTAATGACAACCTGATCTTGTATGTATATATATTCCTGGATATAGATATAATGTGTAGATAAACATACCTCTTGCCCTGGGGTCCTCGGATAGCTGTTGACATGGCAACCTTCTCCAGCTCTGGGTCAATGAGGAGGGTACATCTCTGTTAAACAGAATGATTGGGATCGTTGACCCACCTTACAACACATGTGCACATTGTAGAAACAACATTGTTTTTTTATAACTTGAACATTGTTGTGTTGTAAGCATTCACAATGAAACCGATGTTCCAGACCGGCTTTGATTACATTTTTATGGGGTTTTAGGGTGGGCTTTTTTTCCTTTAATGCTGCACTCAGCAATATTCCAGCTAAATGGCTGCGGTCTGTAAATGATCGAGTCTGGACCAGACAATCCAGTGATCAACAGCATGAGCATCAGTCCATACAATTGGGATACAATGACATGTGTCAACCAAGTCAGCAAGCCATGGGTTACTGAAGACTAATTCTAACCCAGATCTTCACGAGTCTCGATATTTGATTATATGCCATGTTATAACTGCTAACTGTATATTGCTAACTGTGTTGCCTACACTATGAGATAGTTGTTCAGCCCAGCTTTGATCATAACCAGGCTGCCATGTTATAATTGGTATATTGTCATGTTATAACTGGTATATTGTCATGTTATAACTGGTATATTGGTTACTGTGATGCCTATACTCACAATGAGATAGTTGTTCCAGGCACTACGTATCAGCATAAGCCATGTTATAACTGGTATATCATCATGTTATAACTGGTATATCGTCATGTTATAACTGGTATATTGTCATGTTATAACTGGTATATTGTCATGTTATAACTGGTATATTGTCATGTTATAACTAGTATATTGGTAACTGTGATGCCAGCACTCACGAGATAGTTGTTCCAGGCACTACGTATCAGCATAAGCCATGTTATAACTGGTATATTGTCATGTTATAACGTGTATATTGCTAACTGTGTTGCCTACACTCACAATGAGAGTTGTTCAGCCCAGCTTTTATCATAAACAGGCTGCCATGTTATAACTGGTATATTGTCATGTTATAACTGGTATATTGTCATGTTATAACTGATATATTGGTAACTGTGATGCCAGCACTCACAATGAGATAGTTGTTCCAGGCACTACGTATCAACATGAGCCATGTTATAACTTGTATATTGTCATGTTATAACTGGTATATTGGTAACTGTGATGTCTACACTCACAATGAGATAGTTGTTCCAGGCATGAACCATGTTATAACTGGTATATCATCATTTTACAACTGGTATATTGTCATGCTATAACTGATATATTGCTAACTCTGGTGCCTACACTCACATTAATGAGATAGTTGTTCCAGGCACTACGTATCAGCATAAGCCATGTTATAACTGGTATATTGTCATGTTATAACTTGTATATTGTTAACTGTGTTGCCTACACTCACAATGAGAGTTGTTCAGCCCAGCTTTTCTCATAAACAGGCTGCCAGGTTATAACTGGTATATTGTCAGGTTATAACTGGTATATTGTCAGGTTATAACTGATATATTGGTAACTGTGATGCCAGCACTCACAATGAGATAGTTGTTCCAGGCACTACGTATCAGCATGAGCCATGTTATTACTGGTATATTGTCATGTTATAACTGGTATATCATCATGTTATAACTGATATATTGGTAACTGTGATGCCAGGACTCACAATGAGATAGTTGTTCCAGGCACTACGTATCAGCAGGAGCCATGTTATAACTGGTATATCGTCATGTTATAACTGGTATATCATCATGTTATAACTGATATATTGGTAACTGTGATGCCAGCACTCACAACGAGATAGTTGTTCCAGGCACTACGTATCAGCATGAGCCATGTTATAACTGGTATATTGTCATGTTATAACTGGTATATCGTCATGTTATAACTGATATATTGGTAACTGTGATGCCAGCACTCACAATGAGATAGTTGTTCCAGGCACTACCTATCAGCATGAGCCATGTTATAACTGGTATATTGTCATGTTATAACTGGTATATCGTCATGTTATAACTGATATATTGGTAACTGTGATGCCAGCACTCACAATGAGAAAGTTGTTCCAGGCACTACGTATCAGCATGAGCCATGTTATAACTGGTATATTGTCATGTTATAACTGGTTTATTGTCATGTTATAAATGATATATTGGTAACTGTGATGCCAGCACTCACAATGAGATAGTTGTTCCAGGCACTACGTATCAGCATGAGCCATGTTATAACTGGTACATTGTCATGTTATAACTGGTATACTGTCATGCTATAATTGGTATAGTGTCATGTTATAACTGGTATATTGTCATGTTATAACTGGTATATTGTCATGTTGAAACTGATATGTTGGTAACTGTGATGCCAGCACTCACAATGAGATAGTTGTTCCAGGCACTACCTATCAGCATGAGCCATGTTATAACTGGTATATTGTCATGTTATAACTGGTTTATTGTCATGTTATAAATGATATATTGGTAACTGTGATGCCAGCACTCACAATGAGATAGTTGTTCCAGGCACTACGTATCAGCATGAGCCATGTTATAACTGGTATATTGTCATGTTATAACTGGTTTATTGTCATGTTATAAATGATATATTGGTAACTGTGATGCCAGCACTCACAATGAGATAGTTGTTCCAGGCACTACGTATCAGCATGAGCCATGTTATAACTGGTACATTGTCATGTTATAACTGGTATATTGTCATGCTATAATTGGTATATTGTCATGTTATAACTAGTATATTGTCATGTTATAACTGGTATATTGTCATGTTATAACTGATATATTGGTAACTGTGATGCCAGCACTCACAATGAGATACTTGTTCCAGGCACTACGTATCAGCATGAGCCATGTTATAACTGGTATATTGTCATGTTATAACTGGTATATTGTCATGTTATAACTGATATATTGGTAACTGTGATGCCAGGACCCACAATGAGATAGTTGTTCCAGGCACTACGTATCAGCATGAGCCATGTTATAACTGGTACATTGTCATGTTATAACTGGTATATTGTCATGCTATAATTGGTATATTGTCATGTTATAACTAGTATATTGTCATGTTATAACTGGTATATTGTCATGTTATAACTGATATATTGGTAACTGTGATGCCAGCACTCACAATGAGATACTTGTTCCAGGCACTACGTATCAGCATGAGCCATGTTATAACTGGTATATTGTCATGTTATAACTGGTATATTGTCATGTTATAACTGATATATTGGTTACTGTGATGCCAGGACCCACAATGAGATAATTGTTCCAGGCACTACGTATCAGCATGAGCCATGTTATAACTGGTATATTGTCATGTTATAACTGGTTTATTGTCATGTTATAAATGATATATTGGTAACTGTGATGCCAGCACTCACAATGAGATAGTTGTTCCAGGCACTACGTATCAGCATGAGCCATGTTATAACTGGTACATTGTCATGTTATAACTGGTATACTGTCATGCTATAATTGGTATAGTGTCATGTTATAACTGGTATATTGTCATGTTATAACTGGTATATTGTCATGTTGAAACTGATATGTTGGTAACTGTGATGCCAGCACTCACAATGAGATAGTTGTTCCAGGCACTACCTATCAGCATGAGCCATGTTATAACTGGTATATTGTCATGTTATAACTGGTTTATTGTCATGTTATAAATGATATATTGGTAACTGTGATGCCAGCACTCACAATGAGATAGTTGTTCCAGGCACTACGTATCAGCATGAGCCATGTTATAACTGGTATATTGTCATGTTATAACTGGTTTATTGTCATGTTATAAATGATATATTGGTAACTGTGATGCCAGCACTCACAATGAGATAGTTGTTCCAGGCACTACACGATCAGCATGAGCCATGTTATAACTGGTACATTGTCATGTTATAACTGGTATATTGTCATGCTATAATTGGTATATTGTCATGTTATAACTAGTATATTGTCATGTTATAACTGGTATATTGTCATGTTATAACTGATATATTGGTAACTGTGATGCCAGCACTCACAATGAGATACTTGTTCCAGGCACTACATTATCAGCATGAGCCATGTTATAACTGGTATATTGTCATGTTATAACTGGTATATTGTCATGTTATAACTGATATATTGGTAACTGTGATGCCAGGACCCACAATGAGATAGTTGTTCCAGGCACTACGTATCAGCATGAGCCATGTTATAACTGGTACATTGTCATGTTATAACTGGTATATTGTCATGCTATAATTGGTATATTGTCATGTTATAACTAGTATATTGTCATGTTATAACTGGTATATTGTCATGTTATAACTGATATATTGGTAACTGTGATGCCAGCACTCACAATGAGATACTTGTTCCAGGCACTACGTATCAGCATGAGCCATGTTATAACTGGTATATTGTCATGTTATAACTGGTATATTGTCATGTTATAACTGATATATTGGTTACTGTGATGCCAGGACCCACAATGAGATAATTGTTCCAGGCACTACGTATCAGCATGAGCCATGTTATAACTGGTATATCGTCATGTTATAACTGATATATTGGTAACTGTGATGCCAGCACTCACAATGAGATAGTTGTTCCAGGCACTACCTATCAGCATGAGCCATGTTATAACTGGTATATTGTCATGTTATAACTGATATATTGGTAACTGTGATGCCAGCACTCACAATGAGATAGTTGTTCCAGGCACTACGTATCAGCATGAGTCATGTTATAACTGGTATATCATCATGTTATAACTGATATATTGGTAACTGTGATGCCAGCACTCAAAATGAGATAGTTGTTCCAGGCACTACGTATCAGCATGAGTCATGTTATAACTGGTATATCATCATGTTATAACTGATATATTGGTAACTGTGATGCCAGCACTCACAATGAGATAGTTGTTCCAGGCACTATGTATCAGCATGAGTCATGTTATAACTGGTATATCATCATGTTATAACTGATATATTGGTAACTGTGATGCCAGCACTCAAAATGAGATAGTTGTTCCAGGCACTATGTATCAGCATGAGTCATGTTATAACTGGTATATTGTCATGTTATAACTAGTATATTGGTAACTGTGATGCCAGCACTCACAATGAGAAAGTTGTTCCAGGCACTACGTATCAGCATGAGTCATGTTATAACTGGTATATTGTCATGTTATAACTGATATATTGGTAACTGTGATGCCAGCACTCACAATGAGATAGTTGTTCCAGGCACTACGTATCAGCATGAGTCATGTTATAACTGGTATATCGTCATGTTATAACTGATATATTGGTAACTGTGATGCCAGCACTCACAATGAGATAGTTGTTCCAGGCACCACGTATCAGCATGAGCCATGTTATAACTGGTATATTGTCATGTTATAACTGATATACTGTCATGTTATAACTGATATATTGGTAACTGTGATGCCAGCACTCACAATGAGATAGTTGTTCCAGGCACTACGTATCAGCATGAGCATGGGGGAGGTGAGGTTAAGGAGGTACAGGTGAAGCACAGTGCGTCGCTTCTCCACCAATCCACCCTCGCCGCCCACCAGGTTCAGGCCGGTCATGGAATCGCCAAGATCTGAAGTTGATGCCAAGATGCTGGAGCTGAAATCATAATGAACATGAAAAATGTCTTTAAAAATTCTGTCTTGATGAGTGAATATGTATACTGATGAACAGGTTAACCCTTGCTTATATGGCTTTCTGCTGAAATTCAAATAATGCATTTATGACCTCATTTTACACATTTAACACAATTTAACACCTTTTTATAAAGAAGGGTAAACAAAGAAACATATAAATAGCTACATATATATTCATGACGATACTATTTTAAATATTTTGATCATGATATAACAGTAACAAAGAGGGTGCTGAACCAGAAAATGAAAATATGTTTGATAAATCATGCATGAAGTAAAAATTGCACATCTAATATTTATGTCAGTAGAGCATAAAATGCTTTAGGAATCCAGAAACCCGGGAGAAACCTAATTTAGGAACAAGGAATTTGATGACCAAAGAATAATAATCATTGAAAGTCTCATGACAAAATTCCATCACTGATGTATTTAGTCACTCAGACAATGAAATATGTTAGGAATGTTTTAAGGAAATTTTGTTATTATTTGAGTGGTACAAAAAAATTTTTTTTTTTTTTTCTCCTACTTTCTGAATATCCACTGAGCACAAGTCTTATGATTGTCTCCATTATTTTGTCAATGGATATGTCATATTGAAAAACCATAACCATTTCAAGGGTCAAGTTAGGACCTCAGCTTCTCTATGGTAATATATGGTAGTCAAGATCCACAAAACATATGACATTTTAGACATGTTCAATGAACAATTCCAAGAGCAAATTACAGACATCCAAATGACAAAAGTTCCACTCACCCTCTATGCCGTGCTAGGTCCGGAGTCCCTGACCGAGATCCTCTCACACTGCCATCAATCGACAGCCTACTGACACTAAAATGTTGAATGGAAGGCGAAGACGACCTCATGACCACCGAGTCTGTCTCCACCTCAATTTCTGGCACAAGTTGACGTTTATCCGACTGAGCACCGATCACATTCCCCTTGTGGTCTAGCATCTGAGCACTATTTGCATTCTGAACTGGCACAACCTGATTCTTGTTGCGACCCCGACACATGAGAGTCGTACAGCCACACGTGGAAGCATCATTTTCTGGGTAGGTATCTGATGAGTCTATGTTCATGGGGAGGGATTTTGGCTCCTTCGTACTGACTGTTGTATCGGTAGGACTGTTTCTGGGGCTGGGGAGGGGGCGTTTCGAAGCTGAGTTAGGTTTTGAGGCACGGGGACTCTTGCTGTGAGATCTAGTCCCCTTGGAAGATGAAGGCACAGAGTGGATGGTGGCCAGACGGTCATCAGTGTCCAGGTCTTCCTCCAGCTCCTCCTTGAGAGACCGTAGGATGCTGTCATGGTCCAGACTGTCATTCAGCTGCTTCTTCTTCTTCTTACTGATGCTGCTGGTGGTGTTCCAACTGGAGGCAACAGATCCTCGACTATTTGGTCTGCTGGCCTGCAAGCTGCACGTGCTCTGTGTGCTGTACCCATAATCCTCCGAGAAGCTTTCTACAGACTCTGCATACCCAAGAGGTGTAGAGGCATTGGAACGGTCTATGCTGAGTTCTGAGAGAGATCCTGTTTTCTTTGAACGCCTCCTGGATCGTTTCCTGTGGTCAGAGGTCAAATATGTGATGGTGATATGTTGGGTGTTCTCTCTTTCGGCTCCAGTCAAGAAATCTGGATATTCGTTCACCTGCAAAAGAGAAAAAAATACTTTCATGTTTACCAAACTTGTAACCATGGTAAGAAAAAAACTCATGCAAAAAACCTTTGATGACATATAAGAAGTTGTAAAACTGCAATCAAGACAATAAGCTTGACAGATTCAACAGTTTCAAGGTATTGAAGTTCTTGGCATTGTTACATGACTGAGCTCTCAACATGCTGAAGGTGAGTTAAAATTAGGGGATAACTGAACTGTGTTTGACGAATTGGGGATGTATACCGGTGGCTATATAGCCACAACTTTAGTTATATCGGCTAAGTGTAAGCTATACTAGGGGGGGTAATTGAAGACCTAGGGCTTCTGCAAATGATAATGCCCTGAAAAACAGTGTTACCACTATAGAGTAGGGATACATTGAAAATTTTTGGTGAATCGGTTTTGAAATTGCGACCGTATATGCCGATTATACGGTCGAAAATTTATGGCATTGACCAATCAGAACTCGTGTTACATACTAAGTTGAATTAGAATGGGGTTTAACGTCGTACTTGAGTATATTTTGCTCATATGAGTAGGCTATGTTGAGAATTCAACATGAGTTGGTGACTCACCCTGGATGGGACTCGAACCCCGATGGGACTCAACCCCCAAAGCACTAGAATTTATGGCTCATTCCCACTTACCCAACTTGCTGGGGGGATTAAAAGAGATTAACAGTTACGGGTCAGTGATTGTGCGGGTGAATTCGTTACCCCTGCTTTGGATGTGACATAAGTTCACCCAGCACTCCAATCATGGCCAAGCAGAGCAATCTCATGACCACCGGGGAACATATTTCACAAGACAAACTAAGTGAACTATATTCATATCATTTGTTGAGTGAACTATGACAAGTATTATAAAGTATGGAGATTTCCTTGTTTCTCCACTGCACTATGACAAATGTTCAAGTAAACATTCGCTTCCTTCCCAATGTAACGTGGCAGTCAGAACTTGGTCTACAGGGGCTGTAATAGACTAACAACTAGTCTCTGAAATGAACATATTTTACTGAAAAAGTTCATAGTAAAAAATAAAAAAAATATAATAAAAAGGAGCCCTGAGACTTTCTTCATTTTCAGAAGAAATCTAGACTTGCCACATTTTCTAGACTTGTGTGGGCTTCTTGGATATATTTGCTTCAGGGTCTGTACGACAGACGGGCTCTAAGTTCAATATCAAGAACAGGAGGGTGATCATGGCCACGAAATGTGGAACCATTTCAGAACGGAAGGTCCTAGGACAAAAAATCATGTTGAGGGGTGGCATTGTAAAGTGAGTGATGTGTTTGCCGAAAGTCACCCCAACTTTTTTAAGAAGGAGCAAGCGGCGCAAGCCTGGGTAGAGGCATATGTTCTACAGCAAAGAAACGGTGCCAGACGTCCACCTAGGTGGAGAAGATATGTTGAACTGAACCATGCATTGGAAATGTACAAGAGAGAACTAACAACTGGTGCCAGAACTGTCATGTCAAACATTGACTCAGTATCACATTTGTGATTTAACTGGATATTAGGTGTGAAATGTGTGCTGCGAAATATTGATGTAATATGTGATATGATGTTGATGTTGTATTATGTTGTATAACTGGACAACTTGTATAACTGGATAACTTGTATACATAATTAATAAATATAGACAAACATTGAGTCAAAAGTAGTAGTATTTTATCCCATTTGGTCCCGGATACTATTTCACAGGGAACAAAATAAGGGATTAAACTAAAGGGGATTATTACGCCCCAGTGATTTCTTCTACTGAAACAATACAAGCTGGGTAAGTGGGAAGACCCCGAATTTACAAAGAAAGTGTTCAAACATGATGTATCCTGCATTTGACCAAAGGCATTGTGTTTTAAAATACCATAATAAATAAATTAATTTGACTATTAAGTTTTGTTCAATATAAGTTAATAAATTCACTGACAACAGTTAACGGCTATCTAAATTACTCAGAAACTCTTAAGACCATATCAATATTAAAGGAATGATTGGCGGATCCAGAGGGGGGGTTCAGGGGGTTCAAACCCCCCCCCGAAAATGACTTAAGACCACACTGAAGATTCTTTTCTCGCTGGCAGAGCCAATGGGGGATTCAGGGGGTTCGGGGACCAAACACACACCCCCACCCCCCCAAAAAAAATTAATTAAAAATTAATCAATCAAATAAATAAAATTCCTAGATCCGCCCATGGGAATGGTACTAATTAAAGCAGACATTAGACCTAGACAATACTAGGCCTGGGTAACAAGACATTGTGGTACATCATCCTTCCTGTTAAGGTTTGCAAACATGTTGCAAAGATCCACTGATGATTTTACAGTTTAAGGCTAAGCCTGTTATTTTACTGTCCCAGTAAGGCATAATCAACGGTCTATAAACAATGCACCGTCATACATAACATTTTCATCAGCGCTCATGTCTCATAAATATGTAACATAGCCTGCTGTCGTCACAACAAACAAACTGGCCACGGCATATCTCTGTCGACTCAGTGGCCAGGAACGGCATTCTCTGGACTGATTGAGCACTTCAATACTCTGCCAAGGTGTCATTGTTCCCAGTCAAGTGTATAGCCACTCTACCACAAAGAAGTTGGGTTGTTCTTTTTACAAATTCATGAACAAACCTGCATGACTTAGCAGTGAGAAATTATGCATGAGGTTTTCTTTAAAAAATTCTGTAAAGAGTAAATATGGTAAATGCACAGAGAAGACTATAGATTATATGACATGTCTGTAACCATGGTGATAGACAGGTCATACCATCGTACATGTCATACTCGTTCAGTTGCTGAGAAAACCTGATAGAATTTCTCTTTCATCAAATTCAACATTCAGCATGAAGGGCTTTCAGTAAAACCTTAAATGGAATCCGTGAATATGTTAGTCTTTTCTAGCAATCATACTCATCATGATCATAACATATGACAAAAACATGTTACCCATGAGAACCAAGCATTTTATAACTATAGCATTTTTAATAAATTTGTTTGGCAATATATTATGTAATCTCTAATTTAGGGCATTAAAAGTAAATATAATTCTACAAAAAAAAAAAGAAGATTTCGTTGGTTGGTTGGTTTGTTGTTCCAGCTATATGTAAATAATCGAATCTGGACAAGACAATCCAGTGATCAAAAGCATGAGTAAAAACAAATGAAACTCCAACAAACGGAGAGTTCACCATGCTGACATTTATCAATATTCATAAGGCTTACAACAGACTATCATTATTAATCTTCAGATCAATAAATTAATAATCACAATTCATGTTGATTTCCGATGGCAAAGCAAACATTTCCATGTAATATATACCATGTATATTAATCCCAGCAGTCACCTCCCAGACATGCAAACAGTCCACTTGGGCAGGATTTAATTAAGTATTCCTGCCTGAGTAAAGATTTGCTAAAAACAAGTATAATATGCCTGGGAGGTGTGGATACTAATCTCAGTACCCATCTATAGGAATAATGCCTGTATTGTCATGATTGTGTCAGGTATTAGCAAAGGACTTACAAATAACCCTCGGAGCAAATATACTGACCATCCAGCTGGAACAAACAGTATCACAGGATCATTGGATAATAAAGTTATATTGCCCTCTGCCATATTGAATCCTGTTCTGCTGCATCCATCAGTTTAACCAACTAAAAGGGATGTGTGTTAATTACAGTTTGTAAAATCAATCAATGTGCAAATGTGATTCTTTAAGACTATTCAAAATTGACTCAATATTTTTGTTGTTTTACAAATTTACCAAAAATTTATTTATTCAAAGGAATATTTTGTCTTCAAAATTCTAAAAGTCACATTGACTTTCATTTTTTTGTACGCCTGTCATTTTTCAGTCACTTGGGGACAAAATTTAACACAAAAATATTTGGAATTTGTAATCAAAACAAAATAAATGACAGATTTTAAAGTCAATTTGTAAAAACACTGAAGTATTAAGGCATTTTCTAAAGTGACTAAGCTATCATTTCTTTCATTTTACACACTGATTGTAACATACATTTATAAGTTATGTGATCAGATGATAGAGGAGATCGTTGATGTATAAAGATTATAAACGAGTGTTTTCTTATCATTAATATCATATATTAGGAATAAAAATTATATTAAGCAGGCCTTTGGCGAGTATAATACATATTTGCCAACCAACCACAATGTTGCTGACTAGCACTGCATGGTATAACCAATATACTGATATACACTTATACAATACAACATATTTCCCCATACATTATAACCCTGTTGTCTACTGTCGAATTTGTGTTTGGCCCACTGTGTTGAACATGTAGAAGTAGCGAGTGAGTGAGTATGGTTTTACACAATTTTTAGACCCGTGAAGGTCCGGGTTAGAATATTGGCCTTCAGTAACCCATCCTTGTGGTAAGAGGCAATTAATGGGATTGGGTGGTCAGGCTCGCTGACTTGGTTGCCACATGTCATCGGTTACCAATTGCGCATGTCGATGTTCATGATGTTGATCAGTGGATTGTCTGGTCCAGACTTGATTGTTTACAGACCGCCACCATATAGCTGGCATATTGCCGAGTGCGTCATAAAACTAAACTCACTCACTCACGATTTTTAGCACTATTTCAGCGATATCACGACAGGGGACATCCGAAATGGGCTTCACACACATGTAGAAGTAAATGTTGAACCAGTTTTATAATGATTTCACACCACTACTCCCATACATGGTTTACTTCTCATGGATTTCCACCCATGGCTAGATTGTGTGAAGTCTATTTCTGGTGTCCCCCTGCCATGATATTGCTGGAATATTAAAGAAGACAGGATAATTTATGGATACTTCTTTATTATATTATGATGCGACTTGGTATAGATTCACTGTTGCTAGACAACGGTATAAGGATCTATACCGCAATTTTACATCATAATATAACAAAGAAACTGTCATTCATGAATAAAGTATCATACCTTTCTCATTACTCATCAACTTCTAAAATGCTA